AAGTTCACAACCAGCTGCAAAGAGGATACACACATTGTCTACAAGCAGTTTGGGATTCCAGCACACGCACGCACCAGGTCTAGCAGCATACACACTAACACTGGTGGGAAGAATGGGTGCATTTTTACCATGCTAACTTTAACTGTCAACATAAAAGAAAAAAAAAGGGGTGATTTAAAACAGACCCTAAACTCAACTGGTACATAGAAAAAAAAAAGTTTTTAAAAGATAAATCATAGCCGTTTGGTCCCAACTTGAAGATAACTTGTAGATGTTTATTCACATGCTGCACTGTTATCTTATTTATAAGAACCAAAAATAGTTTCCAAAAATTATTGTTCTTAATTGGTGTTACTACATAAGCAAAGGCCTAAAACAAGTAGAGTATGAGATTAAAAAATTGAATACACCAGAGGGAGAACATTTGAACTGGTGAATTAATTCCCCACCTGTATCATCTCAAATCATAGAAGAGAAACATGAAAAAATGTCAATACAACTGGGTAAGACGGACACAAACCGAAATATCCACACAGTCTTCAAAGCCTGCTGCCAAAAAACCCCCAAAACACACCCCATAATTGGCCATCCAACAAGGTCACAGAGCTGAGAGAGACAGAGAGAGAGAGAGAGAGAGAGAAAGGAAGAGGAGAGTGAGTGAGCAGGCTTCTATCCGACATCTGACCTTACTCAGTCCAGCAGGTAAAGTCTTTGGGAAAGACAGACTCCAAGAGTGGATCTGAATGCAAATGATTTGATTGGTTTTAGCCCACATTCTCAGAAGCAGAACTTGGAAGCCACAGTTAACCTGGGACAATTTCTAAGCTTGCCTCTGGCTATGGTCAGCATGTCAGTGTCCCCTGGCCATCTCCAACACTATCAGCTGGATCTTGCCCCCAGCCCCCACCACTCCCCATGCCAGGGCTCTCTGGGGACATGCAGGCACGGGGACTACTCAGCTGCAGACTGCAGGTTGTCCTTCTCCTCCCGGTTCTCTGCCCCACTTTCATCATCCTCGATCTCTCCCTCTTCTCCACTGAACTTGTCATGGGCCCATTTGGGACTTGTGCTTGATTTCCGGAACATGAAGCGGCCTCTTCCCCGGGGGAAAGCACCTCGGCCACGGCCCCGGTTCACCCACTTCTCGCTACCTTCACCTTCTCGGTCATCGTGCTGTAGAGGAGAGAAAACAACAGAGTTGGCGGACATCAGCAAGCCATGCCTATCAGCCAGGGAAAGACAATTAATACATTGCCCCCTTATGGCGTTTCAACTAGGCAGTGCTCCCACATGATTCAACCTCCTTCTGCATTTATGCCATCCACACCAAAGTCAGATATCTTGGTGACTTTCAACACATGAAAGGGTGCAAGCATGCATTTGGGAGCATTCCTCAAGCAAGTTTCCCCCTCTGCTTTTGCATACATTTCCACTCTTCTGCACAGAGCTCTTTGCAGCAGCAAGCACCAAGAGGTGCCCAGGGGTCAAAGCCCTCCATAGACAACGGACCTGCAGCTGACTCTGCACTTGTCCAACTAGGAAGTTATTCTGGGGAAGGTTTTACACCGTGCCCCATCTAACCTTTAGCTGCTCTTTATGCAGGGCTTCTGGGCAGAGCAATTCCCCGCCCCCCCAAAACACCCTGCCACCTCATGGAAACGCTACTGGCCCAGCTATTTATTATTATTTTTTTTTTTAGGCCATAGACTGGAAAGTGGTCCAGATTTCTGTATCTAGTGACAAAGAAGCAGAGCTTAGAGATTTGCAGTTTCTATAAAAATCAAACCAGAGAGCAAAAGAAACCGCTTTACTGATTCAGGACTTTAAGGTGAGTCATTAAAAAGTCAAGCCATACTTAACACTTTCTAATAGTGCTGCGGAGAGATTAGCAGGATCTTTAAAATCCAAGAACAGGGGGAGAAATACAAGCACGCTGGTGCAAATCTGTTTAAAGCTGATTCAAAAGGAAGGAAGGAAGGAATCTGGCCAGGACTGGCCTAACCAAATGGCTGCTAGAGGGTGGGAGACCAGTCCAGCCTGTGCCAAGGGTGAACAGTGTTAGGCAACACAAAATAGCAGGCGGGCACTTTCACCGGTGTTCAGGATTCTATTTAATAGCAAATGGCTGTGCAGGGCCTGCTGGAACTGCTCCTTCCTTAAAAAGCTTCTGGACTGACTGCATCCACTCAGGAGGAGCAGTGCCTCCAGGATACTAGCACTAGTAGCCAGTGACAATCGCACCCAGTTTCCTTCCCACGCAAACCACATCAGCCGTGGGGAAAGGTCCAGCAGCTAGCAGGGCACATTCCCACGTGGATGGGTTCTCCTGAGACATACCAGGTAATACTTCTTGCTTTTGGGTGTGTACTCTGGGTCCCACTCCTCCTCCCTGTTCCGCTTCTGGAAATCAGTATTGCCACCGCTGTTGTTGTTGTTGTTGTTGCCTGAAAAGGTTCCTCTGCCCCATCCTCGCCCCCTCGCTCTGAACTGTGGTGGCAAACAAGAGACAAACGGGGTTGGGGGAGAAAACAGGGCTTAGAGAAGTGTCCTTGGGTCTCTTTCATGAAGCACTAGAGAAGGCATGTAACAAATGCAAGTGGGAGGGCTGCGCCATTAAGACAAGAGCTTTCAAACACCAGTGCAGGTGAGATGGGAAGAGTTACTGAAAACGGCTCCTCCCCAAGTTTACTGACATAAAACAGTGGTCCCTCCCCAGCCAGTGCAGATGAGCAGATGCCAGTGCATTGCAAAAGCCTTCCAGTTTCCATATGGCCTTCAGGATCCTCACCAGACTGCCAGCTCTAAGGTTTCAACACCTCCAAGGGACTTTCCACATCCTAAGCCAGGCTGGCAGCTAGGAACTACCGTGCTTTAGCGTGTCACCCTGGATCATAACCAGGCCCCTGAATTTAGAGAACCAGTTTTGTGCTCAACACCCAAACTGGGAAGAGCAGCAGTTCTCAGGGTTCTCTGCAGGGGGCAAGGGGATAGGACATGACTTACAAAGGTTCCTCTAGCTCTTCCCCTCTCAGGTCCAGCAAAATCCTTAGTGCCCAGCCGGGACTTGTCAAAGCCGGTGGTGCTCTCCTCCCGCTCCTCACTCTCCTCTGGGTAATCCTCCCCTTTGTAGGAGCGAGAGGACTGTGAAGATGAAGAACTAGACCTGGACCGTTCACGCACTCTCCTGTGCTTTCTGTACCAGGAATGGGGAGAGGGGGGAAAAAAAAAAAAAAATGTTTCTTAATCAGAACTTTCTCAGACAAATGCTTGAGGCTCCAAGGCAGAAAGGACCAGTGGAAAAAACCCTGGTCATGCCCAGGTCATTCTCTGCCACTGTGACACAGGACACCGAGTAAGATGGAAGTATGGTCTGACCCAGTTCTTATGTTCTCTGCTGTCAAATCACTTTCCCCCATGCCTCCACCAGAAAAACAATCTCCTCCCTTATGATGCCTATGCACCGCCGTGGTGACAACTGGCCAAGGTCCCTGGACAGGCTCATTTTCAAACAGTAGAGGCAGCTGACAGAATGCTCCATTCATCTGTATTAAGGGAGCATAGAGATGCCCTGCCATGCACCACCACCCACTGTCCTGGACACTGCAGAAACCTGCAAGGAAGACAATGCCTTCCTCCAGGAGCTTGGATTCAGAAACCAGACCGAGTAGAGAACAGGGAGTGATTTTGGTTAAGGTCCCCCAACACTCAGCCTGTGGTCTCTCTGCTTGGCCACATCCCTTTTTTTTGACACAAAGGTGTTCCAGCAACATACTGTCCCGCTGCCACCAGAGCATGCAGCCAGCACCAATTCACTCCTCCTACCAACCTCCTTTTCCCAAAAGCTCTATCTACCTGCCCAAGGAGGGGTGTGAAAAGCATCTGGTCTGTTCAAGAAGCAGTCAACTGCATCTGCTGTGTTTAAGGCGCTGCCATGCACCAAATGCAGTCCAACAGGCAAACTGCACTGTTACATGGTGAAATAAGATGGTCAGCAACCAGAGTTGTGCTTAGACACTGCACCAAGGCGACCTGAGGCTCCCAGGCCCTGATCCAGGTCAACACTTATGCACACATTCAATTTTAAATCCAGAACAGTCCCTCTTCCTTGGATCTTGAGCATATTTTACCAGCCTTCCCAGCAGCAGGACACTGGCCACTGCAGTCCCCCTGCTTGACCTATGGCAGATTAGAATGTTATGTCTTGTGGTTGTATCAGGATTGACGATGTAGTTTTACTAACTGGTTAGACAATGGATTTGTACAGGATGCTCTGGATAGGGTTGATCCCGTCTCAGGCAGGAGGCTGAACTAGAAGAGAAGGGACTGTGAAGGTCCCTTCCAGCCCTACTTTTCTATGATTCTGTGAATGGAAAAACACGACTCACCGTGAGCGCACACTTTGCTCGACTGAAACCTAGCTTACTAGTTCTGTCCAAAACTAAAATGACATACTATGAAAAGTGCTGCTTTTTGTACTCCACTTTTGAGATCGAGTAGAATTCAAAAGCCAGCAGCCTACAGAACACCTTTTCTTTAAAGCCAACTAACTATTGCACCAGTGAACATTAAAAAAAAAAAAAAAAAGTTGCACGGTCTTTCCCAGATTACAAACAAATCGCAATAAGAAAATAACCTCAGTGTTTTATCTTAAGTAAAAAACTGAACTCACAGGAAAGAAGTAAAAGTTAACCAAGAACAGGTAGCATGGTAACCCTACCAACACTTCACTTGACAGATGAAACAGCATATGATCTGTAAAAAAAAACATTCCCCTCACCCTGCCGTGAGCACCCACCAAACTTACGCTGACCAGCACTTCAGTAGCACAACAGAAATAAGCCTCCTGGATCAAATCTCAGAAGGCAAGCACAGCGCAGCTTCATCAGTGACAGCAAAGCCCAAAGCATCTATTCACTGTGTAAGGTTTCATCTGCAATCGCAACAGAAGCAGCATACATCGTAAAATAAGGAAATGAAGATTTAGTTTCCTACATACTTTTTCTTTGACCCTTTGTGAGTTCTCTCAGTTTTCTCCGTTGATCTCTCTCTTGAGTGACTAGAGTCTCTCGAGTCCACGGATTCCCTTGATTTATCTCGTTTAAGATCCCTTTCCTTATGTTTTTTACGACGTTCAATATCAAGGCGCAGGTCAACTGGGTCATCTTTGTATTTCCCTTCAGCCTGAAAAGACACGAAGCAGATGAGAATTGAACACAGCAAGGTTTCCGTTTAAAATCAGCAACTTCAGAACCATTACTTTGCTACTGACTGTAAGAGTTCTGGAGAGTGGGCATCATTTTACAATACAGAGCAATTTGCTATGAGAACCTAGCATCTTCATTCAAAGGCTTCAGAGTTTTCCTACATGATACTTATTCACCAATTTCCCCCCAACACAAGGGGACCAAAGACTGACTTAACTTATGTTGCAGCCAGAGAAGGCTGAGATTGAATAGCCCTCATTTAAAGTCCCATCCAAAAGATCGTGCGTCAGAACTTGGCGCGCACAGTCCTAGCACTTTAAATTTCTCATCTCCCACATCGGATTGTTATTGAACAACTGAACTCCTCTGGAGATTTGACATGATTACTACATGAAGCTAGAGGAATTGTATAGAGGCCACACAAATGCAGATGTTGATTTGTTTGCAGAAATCTCTTTTAACTTACAAATCAGAACCAAACATTCCCAACAGTAAGCATTGCTCTGCCCTATCCCAGACAGTCCAATTGCACCTTATTCCATGGAAACAGGAGACATTCTACACTAGGTGAGGAAATGGTGCACAAAAGGGTATAAATTTCCCTCCCTGTGGCCATCTAAATGATCTACTAATGCAAGTTACATGAAGCATCATGAGATGAAAATATCCAATAACCAGAAACATAAAACTGTATGAACAAACACCAAGTACAATATTTTAAATCCAGTCAGTAAGAGGAAACTGGGTAACGAGTGCCTTAGTTTTAATACCCAATTATTATTTAAATAGTAGATTTAAAAGTTCTAGATTACTGACAGTTCTATGCTTGGGAACTGCAAAGCTTGAAAAGCAACACACATCAAGATTTCTCTTGAATTAAACAAAAAGGATTAGTAATTCTCTAACTTTAAAGTTTTACTTACATGAGTTTTTAAACACAATTTGTTTAATTAAACATTTCAATTAACAGCAGAGGTGGGAGTTGGCGTTTTGTTTTGTATTTTTTGCTCTTCTGCTTTCCCCAGGCAAAGAGCTTTAATTCCTACTCTGAGAACAAAATTGCTCCCAACGCGATGAAGGACAGGTAAGTGACACATTCAGCAGCAGCTCCCTTGTGTGGTGCAGCAAACACCTATTTTGTACTTGTGAGGACACAGCTGTTTCACGGAGGGTTGGCGGGCTGTTTGGAAACCACAAGGTTTTTTTGTTTGTTTGTTTGTTTGTTTGATTTTTTGTTTTGGTTTTTTTTATATACACGCTGCCAAGCTGGCGCTCAGATCAGGCCCATCAAATCCATCTCACCATCGTCCATGTCAAGCCACAAATGTGTTTGGAAAAAAATTGAAAACAAATATGAAACAAGTAAGGTTTCAGTAGGACTGTTTAAAATTTCTTCAACGTTCAATGTAAATACGTATGAAGGTGAACAAACAAAGGTTAAAAACCCAGAATCTAACATCTTAGGTTCTAAATCTTTTAGGATGGCTTACAGAGTGTATTATGGTTCAACACTGTTCTACTCACAAAAACTATTATTTGATTTTAAACCGTCTGTTTTTATTAAAAACAGGTGCTGAATGTTAAAGTAACGGTAATAAACAGAAATGATACGGCAAGGTGTTAGAACAAAATTTATCATCTGCTTAGTAATAGGGTATTTGGTTCAACTATTTAGTTTTACTTTCCTCTCTTTGACATGCATGTCTTTTTCAAAAATATGGTTGGAAATATCGCGTGTATACAATTGATTTAATAATACTTACAAGCAGAAAAATATCACAAAAAGTCTCTTCTCTCATCATGGGCACTTGTTCCAAAAATCCTCTCTTTTTTTCTCAAGCTCACCTCAATTGACTTTGGGATCATTTACCATATTCTAACCACTTCACAAAGGTTGTTGATACATTTTTTATTAAAAATTAACCCTTTGTAGTTCATTTTTAGAATTATGCCCATCCTTAAAAGAAAAACACAAACTTAAGTAGAGAGTAATTTAAACAAAACATCACTGTTAAGTTCATGCCCAATGCACTCATTTTGTTGAATAACTGATCACAGTAACAGTTCACCTTGTAGCCAGGTTCTCTGGAGCTTTTCGTTTCCTCTTGAGAGAATCCATGTTTTCTAAAAGTACTGGGAGAAATATCTATCCGCCTGAAAAGAAAAGCAAAGCATGAAGCCATTGCCTTACCATAAATAGAATGTCAAGTTTTCCTAGTCCCAATGTCATTATATAAATAAATAAATAAATAAATTAATTAATTAATTAAAAAGCAGTCCATACTCCAGTGATTTACCACCAGGTTGCCATGGCATCCTGGGGTTCCTTGAAATCCTTTCAAAGGTGCCACGGGATGCCACACAATGGTAGCACCGTAAGATGTGCAAACATGGTTCACAAAGGAATCCATAGCGTCTAAACCATTCTGACCTGTTGTGGTCTTTGAGTCCTTCACCATAGCACAACTGAACTACAGGCAGTCCTCGACTTACAGCAATTTGCACTTGCAGCGCTCTGCCATTTACACCCATGTTATTACTTATGGCTCCGGATCCTCGCACTTACAGCACTACAGGAAAATTTACAATGAGAAAGAAGGCAGCAAAACAAACATCCCTGGATCAGTTTCTCAAAAAGCCATCAAGTGGCCTTAAGTCTTCCCAGAAATCTCCCCAAAGAAGCCCTTCTGAATTCCATGACCCTGATGAAGGTGTTCCTTCACCTTCTGATTACATAAAAATGTATGTGATTAGTTACTGTATTGCCCTGTTTAGTCGATTTATATACAGTACACTTTAGAAAGCTTTGTACTGTACAGCATATATCATTTATAGCTGATTTAAATATGGTCTTTATGGTCATTTCTATAAAAAGTTGGGCATCAGGCCCTTGGTCAGGAACATAACCCCTATTATAACATTGTTTCTATGGGAAAAATCAGATTTGACTTGCATCGTTTTGACTTTTAGCACCTTTTCCAGGAACGTTAACCTGCCGTAAGTGCGAGGACTGCCTGTATTAGGTATTTTGCTGTAGTCAAACAAGTGATAACCAAGAGCTGGCATTTTCCAAGGACTGCCCTGATATATATCCCACAGCCATTTTCTACAATGTTTCTCACAGCTTCCTACGAAATATTTCATAGATAGACATTAGGGCTGGAAGGGACCTCACAAGTCCATTGGGTCCAGCCTCCTGCCCAAGGGGCAGGAAGTCAGCTGGGGTCAAATGATCCCAGCAAGATAGGCATCCAAGTGTTTCTTAAAAGTGTCCAGAGAAGGTGCTTGCACCACTTCTGGGGGGAGTTTATTCCAGGCTCTGGGGACTCAGACAGCAAAAAAGCTTTGTCCAGCTTAAAATGGTCTTCCAGCAGTTTGTGACCACTAGACCTTGTTTTCCCTTGGGGTGCCCCGGTGAAGAGACGTTTTCCCAGTTCCTGATGCATACCCCTTCTATACTTATAGGTTGCTACCAAGTTCCTCCCTGAGCCTTCATTTCTCCAGGCTGAAGAGTCCCATGCCTCTCAGATTCTCCTCATAAGGCCTGCTCTCTTGTCCTCTAATCATGCATGTGGCTCTCCTCTGGACTCTCTCAAGCTTCTCCACATCCCTCCACATTTAGTACCATCAAGGCAGACTGCAGATGCAGCAAGACAGATCAGTGACATATCCATTATGGCAATTACTATTTTCCCAGCTAGATGATGTTTTGGCGAGTTTCATTTTTGAGTTATGCCACATAGTTTAAAGAAAATATTAAAAATATCCCTAAAATTTTCCCCCAAAAATGAAGTGCTCCTTACCTATGGATTTCAGGGCTCTTCTTGTTTTTAGCTGCATCTTGTTCCATTCCTTTCTTTAGGTATTTAGTAAAACGCTCATTCAGTGTCATTCCTGAAGACCCAAAGTGATGCTCTGCAAGGGGGGAGGGGAGCGTTCAGTGAAAAACTACCATGGAATTGCTATCATTTGGATTTTAGGAAAACCTGCCAGTTATGCAAGGGTCTGCAATGGCTCCAGAACACACAAGTGTGAAGACAGAGGGGCAAGCGGGCAAGATTCAAGTAGTCAATAATACTGTTAACAAAGCCACTCCCTCAAAAAATCAGTGAAACAGGGCCTGCTTGCACCGGTGGTGAATTCAATCTGCTTAACAACAAATATAATGTGGTAAACTAAAGTTATGCAAGACATCAGAATACACAACACATATGCAGATTTTGCACTAGTCTCTGGGACCAAACTTATGCTAGAGTATTGCTTTTTGCTGTTTTAAGTGTAGGCAGGCAGGGGGCAGACCCAGTAGGCTGGAGGGAAGTATAAACTTTTGACCAAAGATAACAGGACATTTGGCTCACCTCTTACATGATGGACTATAGTCACTATGTGCTGAGCAAACAATTCAGAAGGACTTCGTTGAGACTGAGCTGACTGAATATGGTGGAAAATGGAGCGAAACTCCTGCTCCTTTTTGTTGCTGTGTACAAGGTCGCGACAGAGTTTGCGTTCCTGTGCCAATATACCACTCGGACTAAGAGAGAACACACAGATGTTATAAATATAACCACCAGAAGGGCAAGCTGGATCGAAGTAGCTTTCACGCTGTAAAGAGACAACACTCAAAAGTAAAATAAACTCAAGCGCTGCATTTCATATCCTGCTATAAGTCATCTAAAAAACAACCCCCTCCCTCCCCCAAAACACCAATGGCTTTGTTTCCACTTACATGGCTCCTGGAACTCTGGCCCCTTCTTCTCTGCCAAAATTACTAATAATGTTCCCTACTTTTACTAATGTCTTCCTATAATATATCAGATTCCAGGAGTTTAGCACTAAGTATTTTATTTCCCTGCACTCCAGACACCCAGGACCAGATTCAATTTCAGAAGTCAGAGACGCATGAACCTGGCTCAGGAACTCACAGCAGCAAACATTTCTCGACTAAGAGTGGCAGGCACAGAAGGTAGAACAAGGTTCCTTAAAGCTATGAACAGATTGGGTAAGACCGTAATATTTTTCCTAAAACAAATCCAAAGAAAGCTGGAACTATCGGCAATAAAACTGCCTGGTTTCAGTACAAGCATCAATAAGGCCTGGAGAGCAATCTCTAAGGGGTTGCCCAGAAACAAGCTGAGACTACTTAACATGCATCCCAGGTCTTGCACTGAAGACAACCCTTTCACCACCGCCTCCTGGAAAATGGCACAAACTCCTTGCCTTCCCACTGCATCTCCACAGCAGTCACTATCTTGCTGCAAGAAACAGCAGACTCATTTAAATCAGAGACATTTCAGTCACTGATTTTAATCATGGTTTAAGTGAGCAAACAGGGAAACCTCAACTTAAATAACCAGTGTTGTGTTTCCCACTTGCTGTTTTTGTTACTGACTCTCTGTCTGTAGGAAATTCTCGTTGCCTGGTACTATGCTACCATTAAGGCATGCCGATTTGTAACTCAACATAGCCTTCAGACTAACTTTGGTACTTTCTGCGAGCCAGCGGGGCATTATATTTGTGTGCATCTATTTAAGCTATCATATTAACACCTTTAATCCTTTTTTCAGACACTTTTAATATATAGAAGCTGGAGGTGGCTGGTTTAGGTAACTTTTTAATTGTGATTCACATCAACCTGAATTTAGGTGAAAACTAGCATTCAATACAATACACAAAAAACAGCATTTTAAAATTGTTCTTATCAAAATATGTTTTGCATTTCAAAACTAGACTGATTTGGGAACATAAGGAGCATAGGCTGCAGTTAGTCTGACCTCACTACTTGGCCTGTGTGACCAGAGACAGAGGTACTCTTACATCCCAAAGGGTACATGTGGGCACCTTGTACGTTTTGCAAAAGCACTTACGCGAGTCCGGCCCAGACCCATATTGCTAATTCAGGTACCTCTGAAAAGACAGCCCTGTGCTCGTGGAGATTTCAGAACTGGTTTCAATTCGTGGATGGGAAGAGGAAATCAAGCTTTTCTGTCTTTCCTCCTTTCAATTCATTTCTCAACTTCAAATGAACTAAACCAAGTAAAGAGAATATTCTTTGCACCTACTATAACTGACCTGCAACAAGAAGTAATTAAAGAAGCAGCTTTGACACAAATGGAACTTGGAGCAATGACATTCAGAAAACTGCAGACAGGTTTGTACTATTGCACATACTATTATTCTGAGATTATGGAAAAGCTCCCTGTGATTTTGTACACACTTAAAAAGCAGCATTCTAAAGCATTAAAATCCGAGTTCTCGTTGTTACATCGCATTTTTTTTATTTAAGCAATTTGAACAGCTAGTAGTAACGGCAGGCCTTGCCACAGGGAATCCATTTCAAATTTAGTTTTAAGACAGGCTTATTTTTGAAAAAGGAAAAATGTGTTTACATTAAAAAAAATCCAATCTGATGTTTATTCACCTGGCTGCAGCAGAGCATCATCCAGCCACTCCCACAGCAAAGCTGGTAAGTGCAGAGCTGCACTCAGGAGTGAAAGCAAATTGTGTGGCTCAGCCTAGGCTGTTTTTAAAGCAGATCCCAGCTGTGCTAGAAGGCTGCAGTGGTCATCCTGATCATTTACTGTTTTTTCCATGGTCAGTGCTGCACGAACATTAGCCCACCTCACCCTGTGAAGTGCCAGCACTTGCTTGCCATCCACCGTCCTCTCTGCTCCTTCTCTTCACTCCTGAGTTCTAGAGCTTCCTCTGGTGTCCCACGGGAACACTGACATTTTCTGACTACTGCTGAGAGATCATGCCTGAGCAGTGAGCACCCTCTAGTGGTCTTCCACACTGTCAGCCTTTCAGAAATGGTAAATGGCTGTCAGAGCTCCCAAGCAGTTTTGGCAGATACTCTACCTTTAGAAGAAAAGCAGCAAATTCTCCTCCAAATGTGCATAACTGAGCTGCCATGCTGACAAAGACCTCCAAACAGCTCGACAGCAGCGCTTTTATTACCTCTGAATAGAGCATGACATGGTCGGAGTACAGGCTGCGAGCCACCAACTCCCGAGTGCTAATCTAGTCTCCTACACAGCTTCCCTATGCAGATTATGAAAAGTTCGCTTACACCGTATGCTTCATTTTCTGCAAAACGGGGAACATAATCACTGGCCTTCCACCTGGGGGATCCATATGTGGATGTGTTAACACTTAGAGACGAGAAGAGCAATGTTAACATCCGGTCATGCAATATCCTGTAATTAACTTTCCCAGTATTTTGTCAGGTTGAGGATCCACGAGAGGTAAAGCAGTCTACTAAAGCGACTACATGGAACTGAACAAAGACAAACCCTTACCGTGCAAGATCCTCATCAAAAGAATCCATTCGGATATTGACTTGGGCCTCTCGGGTAATGGAGAAGGAAGATTTGCCCGCTGCTAGCCCATCTCCTTTGCTGCCTGGTTTGTCCTTGGTCTCAGAGGCCTTTCTTGGTGGAGGGGAAGTACTTTTCTCCTGGTTTGCTTTGTAAGTGGTTACTCTAAAATTCTTTTCAGGAACAAACCCTCTGTGACCTATTTCGGCTCTTTTGGATGCTACTTTCTCTTCTTTCTTAGACCTTTCAGAATAGGTTTCCTCCTCCACTTCCTCAGTTTTCCTTTGCTTCTCTTTTGCTGATGGCAAGAACACTACACCTTCCCATTTTCCTGGCCTATCCTCATCCTGGTTTTTGCTAGTGGTGGCCACCACTTTAGACATGAATTTAGGCTCATCATCAAATTCTGAATCCTTTCGGCCCTTAGCCTTATCTTTTTTCTCCTGCTCATCCATCTCCTCTTTGCCATAATGACCTTCCTTGTGGAATTCTGCCATCTTCACCTTCTCAAAATCATCCCGAACCTTATAGCGTTTAGGTGACTGGCTGCCACGATAAGACTTTTCCGGATCAGTTTTGGAGGAGTAGGGATCAGGTTTTGTTTTACTATCAGCTAACCCCAACTCTGAGAAGCTTCCTTTTTCTTTCATTTTTTCCTTTTCAACATTCGTTAGTTTCTGTTCCTTGTCTTTCCCATTCTCAGTCTTCTGCTCTTCCAAATACCTATTTATAAAACATACATATTAAAACAATTCTCTTATTAAACTATAGACATGAGCCTTTTTATTTTTAAAACTTCAAAGTATCAAATAAAAACACAGAAACTGTCAGACCTGTAAAGACACCAAAGGCTAAATAAATAATAAATAAGGTAATATGCAAAACAGATAATCATTGTTCTATATTAGATGGCCTGAGTTTTGAATATAGTCACCAAAAAGGCTGGAAGATGAATGTGACATGAACCAATGAGGTGAGACTCAAGAGTAAATAATAAAAGAACCAACTTACCCAGATTTATTTTAAGAAAATTCATAAGGTCTTACCCAGTCTGTTTAGTCACTTACAAACCTGGCTCAGGAGAATTAACACATCAGAATGCTCAACTTGACCTTTTTAAACAATACACACTGGATAGAAAAGTCTCAAAATCTACTTCAAACTTTGGATGCAAGTTTCCTAGGAAAGCTACATATTTCAACATATACTGTAAACACAAATAAAAGCAAAGAAAAAAAGTTAATGGGGGTGGGGGGGGGGAAGAGGGAAGAATCACGTGTCTTGGGAGAACAGACAAAACTCTTTATTCTGGCATTGAGAATGATAACACCTCCCAAAACAATTTCAAGTGCCCCAACTATGCCGGTTAAGAGTGATCAGCCCTCATTTCAATAGAGCTGCAGAGGGATTTCTCTAAAAGACTTAATTTTACCACTTTAAGAGCCTAGACTGGACTTGGAGATTCTCTCTTAATTTCAGGTCCCTCTGATACAGTATTTGCCCCCAAACTAAAAACTAAGAATCAAAATGATTACTGCCCCTTAAGTGAGGTGCTCTATTGGAATTAAAAATCAATGAGTGGCACATTTATCAGGGTTCTGGACTGCAATTCAAACCAGATAAGAAAGATATCCCTGTATTGGAAGTCATTTCTTCCTCGTCCCCAATGATGCACAAAATTAACCCCAAACAGCAAGCACTGTTTTCCTAGACATCCCAATTTAAACAAACACATGCTTGAACACCACGGTTCTATTAGCCCTTGCTTGTTTCTATTAGGAAGTTGCATGGTTAGATTTTCTTTTAAACAATGTGTGCCAGTGCCAACATACAAGAACAGCTGCTGGAATTCAAGAGCCACAGCCTACCAATACAAGAGAGATTTTCAAAGTGATCGGTATTTTGTCAGTTAAACTTGACAGTGCCCAACAGCAACCAAACTTTCACAAGCTAAGGTTTGGCTACCTGAGCACTCCTGCCCCCAGGTTAAGCAAGCCAGCATCAATGTCTTAATATCTCCAATGTCCCTTTAAACTTGGGAAATGACCCCAAAAGACATGGTTAACCATTACAGTTTGTTAACTACATAATTACTTAGAAATCAGACCGTTTTAACTGCAGTGAGAATTCAGACACACAACTTTACATTAATTTTTTATAAAAAAAACCCACTGGGGTCATGTTATAAAAATGAACTTCTAGGTAATCTGCATCATCTTCACAATGTTATCGAAGCATTAAGGAAACAAAAATTCCTCTAACAGATCCCAGCTAGATTCTGCAAAACAAATTTAGACTGCAACCTTTTTTGGGCAGGTACTCACTCATACATAGGGCTTGTTCAAAACATACCATAATTGGTCCCTGATTTCTGTAGGAATCCAAAGATCCCATCATAACTACAGTGATATATAGAGACTTCATGCCAATAAGAACACGTTTGTATGTGCACCCTCATCCCCCCACCCAAAACAAAGAATGGGAAAACACACAACTTGCCTTTTTGAGAAGGCCGCCCCACCTGGAGCTGCTGCTTCCTCCTTCTGGGAGGTACCATAAATTGAACTGATTGCTGTTGGACTTTTACAGACAGGGCTCTTCCTTGTTGGGCTCAAACCTGGCTCAAACGGGCCCTGATGTGACCCTGCCTGAAACGAGGCGCCACTTTGTAGAACAGAACTCATCTGCGAAGCATTGGAGAGTGGAGGGCTGGACTTCTGCAATGGGCTTGGCCGAGGTGAACGGCGCCTCACCACAACAGACTGGAGGGGGCTTTTTAGGGCAGGGCTGCGCTCTCTTGGGCTAAGCTCTGGCACAGAAGCTCTTGAAACTGAACCTGAACCATAGCTGGTCATATCCTGCCATGGTTTTGACCCCTCAGATGCCTTGACATCTTGACTACCTGCTCCAGAAAAGGACTGCTCCTTCGAATCTTCGCCTTGATTATCTCCTGTAGCCTGTGATGCCCGTGTGTCCTTGGATGAGGACTTTTTCTCCTTTACAGACTTTCTCTTGGAAGACTCTACACGACTGTGGTTTGAGGAAGACCGAGAAGATGAAGACCTCCTAGATCTATCAGAAGATGACTTATCGGAGTTTCTAGAATGGCTCCTAGACCTTGGTGATGGGGACCTCCGCTTCGGGGACCGAGAACGCGACCGTCCCCTGCGAGGACTATAGGCCTGGCGATAATTTTGCCAATTGGACCTGTAATTTCCATAGCCTCCTCGGTTATACTGGCCCCACGGATAAAATCCTCTGTTCCGCCCACGGAAATAATACGGTCTCCTGTACCCTCTGTTATGACCTCTGAAATCTCGGTTCTGATAGACTCTTGGGTGGTTCCTTTCTCTATTATGAGATGGAGAATATGATCTTGAACGAGACCTAGAACTGGAAAGAGAAAAAATACAATTATTTGGAAACTTTCCCCTCAATTAAACTTTTTTATTGAAAACCGTACAGAATTAAACAACCCATACTGGAATCTCCTTTAAAAAGGTCTAAAATGATCTTTTTTGCTTGCCTCATAACCCAGTCTCATTATTCTAAACATGACACTGTCTGTTTTAGTGAAAGCCCTTCCCCCACACAACCAGTGACAGTACACAGTATCTGTACTACAGCCGAAGAGGAGACCCACAGCCTTAAGTCACTGCTGAGATCAGGACAAGAACAGCTCAGTTCCAAATGGTCTAGGGCTAATGTTGCCGATACCTGCCTTCACGAGACTAAGTGGTTTCTCTTTCAAACACCCAGCCTTCACAACTCAAGGTTACACCTAACCCCAGCTCTCCTAACAATAAGCCAGGGATGCATTTCAGCCTCAAAGGGCAGCTCCTCCTATAACAGATTTAAGTCCCTGCAGCACAAAGGAAGGGCTTCAATGGAGGGTTTGGCAGGGGAATCCTAAATGACTTTCCTTGCTAGAGACATTAAATGAATGCCAACGCTTCAAAATGAAAACGACAGCACTGAAGAGTAAGATCAAGGACAGGGTGTTTTCTATTTCTAATCTCAAAATGTATATGAATCACTGAGATTCAAAACCTTGAGCTCAGTCAAGTGAAATAAGCTATAGAGCTTCAGGAACAGCGTGCAAAATGCACGTATTGTGCCTGCAGCCTGATGCCAGGAGATGGCACTGTTTAATACTGCAAATCTCTTTTACTTTTAAGGGGAAAACAGAGCGTTCAGGCAGGAAGGCAGACAACATGGAAGTTAAACACATGAGGTTATAGATTTGAGCAGTGTTTCTTGGGGCAGACAATATAAAGTTTTTTTCTCCCAAGTACAACTGTTTTCCCTTAGTTTTATCAAATATTTGAAAACTGCAATTGTTGCAGAACTATAAAGGCAGCAAGATAGCTGAGGACAGCTCAGGTTAATACATTTTATTGAATACGGGGAAGTCAGAGCGCTGTGTTTACAGGGAGGTGTTTTAGTAACTTTGCACTTATTTAAAAAGTGCAGACAATGTTCCCGCTAAAAACAAACAAACACAAAGGCAATTTCTACACGCTTTACTCAAGTGATACCTATTTACTGCAAATATTTTAGGGTACTTTATTAATAAAGATTAAATTGTCACTCAAAAAGCAACGCTTTTAGCAGCAATGTTTGAATCACTTATCCTAGTAGACATTCCCTACTACTTTTCTCTCCTCAAAATACTTTAAAAAAAGTACAATAAAACACCACACTTTACTACTACTCCTAAAATGTTAAAGGTCTAGCCCAGCTAAAACATGAAATTTTAAGTGCAGTCTTCTTTTGCCAAATTATCAAATACATTAGTGTTTAACAGGCAAGAGCTTATATTACAGCATTAGCTACACCCGATATGCATTTAGTTTAATGTAAACTAATTAATGGTTTCCTGAAAGCATTTATGCTCTGCTCAAAACAAGAAAACAGTACAACTTACCTGAAACAGTTTTTCATTTGAAAGTGGTATCGACAAGATAAGAAAGATGGAAAGACACATGCAGATGCAGGCAGTGAAAACAAACCAATTTAGAGAGGCGATCCAGAAGCACTAAGCAGAATACATACGGCTCCTGTCCCCAAGTGACTAATTTATTTGTTACCAATTACTAATAAGGAACCTGCTACATGCTGCTTCCAGCATCCACTGTCATTTTAGAGAGGCACAGAACATGAACCTTTCACACAGAGAGCTGCAGAGACTATTTACAAGAAATCATTTTAAGATGCAATGTGAAATGCAACAGAAATATGCTAGAAATGATAATTATCTTTCAAGTCTGACAGACTCCAAAGCCAGCCCATTAAGTTAGCAAAGATCATTCTTGAATTCTGGAGATTCCACTCCTATAATAGTGGGCAAAGAGAGAAAGAAACAGAGGAAGATACTCTCTCCTGCAAACAAAAACTATACAGACAAGGCTGACCAGAATCAAGCACGGCAACACAACCTGCAACACGAGTTGAGCCACTAAAACAGACTGAAACAAAATGATGTCTTCAATTTATTCTTTGATACAATAGCGTCATTTTTTGTTCTGTGCTATGATTCTGCATTAGACCTACCTCGGTGAATACACTAAAGTCTTACAAGATGACTTGTCTACAACAACCCCTTCCATCTCAATTCTCTTTTACCAAGTTATTTACAGCGCTAAAGTTGTCCCAGCAGCAACACAAGGTTAGGGGAGATTTGTCTTATTTGGATCAAGGAGCCTGAGTTTCCATTCATCATAGCTGCCTTGTAGCTGGTCAGATGTTCCCGAGTACAATGCATCTTTCCTAAAGCTCCAGCTTCTTTATAAACAGCTCTGTTCCACTTGAAGCTCCACCCCATCTGGTTTTGTCCAGTCTCCCCCTCTCTCAGTTGCTTTTCTGCATCTTAAAAATCCTTTTAATAATTCAACAGTTGCAGAATTTTCAGAATACTTGTCAGGCATTTTAGACTAGTGAAAAACAGCTGAATAGCATTATACCCTGTCCAACTGGAAGGGGAGGGGGTTTTTTTGGTTTTTTTTAAAGCAGAGCAAATGCCAAATGGTGGCTTTGGAAGATACAAAATCCTCCGCTAGTAACTTAGTTGCTTGGATAACAGAAATCCATAGTTTTGTTCTTTTAAGAAACAGTTTAGGCTTAAATTGATCCAATTCTGAATAATCCACAGGCAACAGCTATCAAGCACTCAGAGGACTTATCAACATATCTCTTAGCAGTGAAATGAACTCCGAATCACATTTCCTTCCTATTTTACTGTTGACAGTTCCCTTACCAACTCCCACTGTCCTGCAGGTGGGAGCAGGTGGGGGAAGAGGACTTCATATCTACCTTTCCCAGAAGTAGTTTAGACTGCCACTCTGTAAAGACCCAGCTTCATTCACAGCTCTAGGAAATGCATGACTTTTCCAAAAGGCCTTTTTTAAACCTCTTAGCAATTAAGCTAAAAGAACAGAAAGAACAGAGAAGTTAACAGACAAGGCATTCTGCTACAGAATCTCCAAGCTATGCACCCACGTGTTTGTTCTGGCAGGGAACAATCTTAAGAAGACAAGACTTTCTCCGTGCTATTGGCACCTTAAACTATAGATTTCATAGACATTAGGGTGGGAAGGGACCTTGTAAGATCTTCAGGTGCAGCCCCCTGCCCAAGGGGCAGAAAGTCAGCTAGGGTCAAAAGATCCCAGCAAGACAGGCATCTAAATGTCAGAGTGGAAAAAAAAGTGAAAAAAGTGATCAAAAGTAACTTTGGTCTGCCAAGAGGTTTAAAGCCAAATCTGATATTTTCCAGGTCATAACAAAAACATTTAACCTTTCTTCTCTGATTATCCTGGCTCAAGAATACCTGGCAAACATCTCTTCAGTAACCACTTCAAGTCTCCAAACAAAACTTGGAGAGGTTGAACAGAGATATATAGCCAGCAAACAAAAGGTACCATCTGACATTGCTGGATAATAGACATGGGGCTTTTCCGTTTTAATTCATTTTATGAAGCAATTACAGAAATAGTGGAGGTTGGCTGCAAACTAAAGCAAGAATCTGAGAGAGACATGCCGAGGCTTAATCGACTTCAGAGCTTAATACAAAGGTTTTCCTGGGAGGCCCGGCGTCACCATCTAAGCAGACAGAAGAGCCCTCTGAAGGGCACAATGAGCTGTATACATTACCTGAGCCTACGTTTTCTTGATCGTGAGACAGAACGGGAGCGGGAGCGGGACTTGGAAAAGGAACGGGAACGTGATCTCGATCCAGATCTTGATCGGGAGGAGCGGGATCCAGATTTCGATTTGTTAGTTTTGGACATCTTTGAAGCTCCTCCAATCACACCTGAAGAAATGGGGATGGAAAAAAAACCCAACAAGTAAGTGAGAGGATCCTGCCAGCTTTTTCAAGCTCTCTCCCTGACTGTCTGGACAACCACATATGTTGTTATAATGGAGCTTGACAAAATTATGAACAGGACATCTGAGCAGTTGCCTGTGAGAGCAGGCAACTAGACTCTCAGACACCAAACACGCTCT